GAGAGAGAGAGAGAGAGAGTACACTAGAATTTCCAGGAGTGGCGTCTAAATTTGTATACTGCAAAAGATCTCATAGCATATACTGGTTTCTCTATTTCTATAATATTGGTGGAAGTTAGTATTTTTTTTTTTATATATGATATTGGTAGAAAACTGCAAATCGAACAAACCAGCGGCTCAGAGGAGCGAGGAGTTCACTGATAGTCATCTAATATAAAAGATAGAAACTGGTTCCTCTCTCTCTCTATCTGTCTATCTCTCTATCTCTCTCTCTCTCTATCTCTCTTTAATGCAAATAAAGCCCTAATGTTATTAAAGGGATGAATTAGTAAGCAAATTATAGATTAATTAGTGAACCAATTGTACTAATACTATTTTTTAAATTGCCTCTTAATATTAAGGTCTAGTACTTTAATCTTGTCTCTATCCTGTTAATAACGGGTCAACTACCTGTCTTTTTTTCAGTACTATTACGCTACTCTTCCACCTAAATTTAGCTCTAATCTAAGCTTTATATTTTTAAATTTGACGCTAAAGATCTCATAGCTGAGTTTTTATAATGTGGATTAGTCACTCTCTCTCTCTCCTCTGTCACCATTCATTGTATCTTTATTTCTTAATTAATCTCCTCACAGAAGCATGCACAGAATTCTCTTTATTCTCTCTCATCCATCCATGCCATTATTTATCTTAATTTCTTGATTAAATTTGAGCAGTGAAGCGTGCACCAAGTGCATCTCTCTTTCTCATCGACGACCCGACCTCTACCCATGGAAGGAGGACCACGCCAATGGCGTCATCAACTCCCCCACGGGCTCCGACATGTCCATAGACTCTGTCACAGAGGAAGAAGAAACTTCCCTCACTTCTAATGGTCCCCAAAAACCGCCTCCAAAGCCCCCTGAACAACAAGACACAGCAGCCACCAGGTCAAACAAACTTCACTTTCTCTCTCTAGATTCCTCAAAGGAGGCCAGCACCCAATTGGGTCTTATCTCTTCTTCCAAAGAGACAAGCATTTCTTCCTCTTCTCTTAAAGTGCCAAGCAGCCAGGCCGAAGAAGAAGAGTCGATCGGAAAGAAGACTGAGCCCACGCCATCCAGCCGTAGGCTCAGTGTTCAGGATCGAATCAATCTCTTTGAAAATAAGCAGAAAGAACAGTTAGGTGAGCCTGTGAAGAAGCCTGGAAAGGTCGAACTCAGGCGACTTTCATCAGATTCTGGCAGGGTATCGTCAGATTCTGGCAGCCAGGCTCCTGTCCCGACAGAGAAGTCAATTTTAAGGCGATGGAGCGGGGCGAGTGATATGAGCATTGAATTGAACACTGAGAAGAAGGATAATTTGACTCGTAGTCTTTCAGGGTCTCTTCAGGCCCAAGGGAGAGGTTTTGCAGCGAAAGGCGAGGGATTGGAGGCTAAGATTTCTGCGAATTGTCAGACCCTAGTGACAGCTTCTCTAGAGAGAGAAGAGGATTCAGGAGCTAAGAATCCAGGTGTTACTCAGCCCCAAGTGAGAGGTTTTCTAGAGAGAGAAGAGGATTCAGGAACTAGGAATTTGGGGTTTCCTCAGAGCCAAGCAAGAGGGTTTCCTGTGAGAAAAGAGTCCGAGGTTGGTACAATTCTGGGAGGTTCTCAGGCCCAATTGAGAGGTTTTCCAGCAAGAGAAGAGAGTGCAGAGACTAGAAGTTCTGGGAATTTTCAGGCCCAATTCAAAAGTTTTTCAGAAAAGGGTGAGGGATTGGAGAGTAAGAATCAAGGAACATCTCAGAGCCCTCAGTTTAGAAGCTTTAAGGGCAGGCCTGATGATATTGGTTTGAAAGAACCAGCCAACTCTCAGAATCAAATTGGAGGTTTTCCAGTCACACGGGAAGACTCTAAGTCGAAAAATCCATCAAATTTTCAGAACCAAATAAAAAGTTTTCCAGCAAGGTCTGAGGATACAGGGTCAACAGATCCAATCTCTAACGAGACCAATATCAACAGGGGTCCACTGCTAACGAGAGAGCACTTAGAGACAAAGATCTTACTAGTTTCTCAGGCTCAAGTTTCTTATTCTCCTGTGAGTGCAGAGGGAAATATACAGTTGGACAAACCAGCTTCTCAGACCCAATTTAGGACCTTTGCTGCAAAGCTTGACGATTTTGAGCCAAAAGATTCGACTAAGTACCAAGCTAAGGGTTCTCTTTCTAGTGGTGACGACTCAGAGATGAGGAATCCAGTAGTTTCTCGGACCCAGTTTAAAAGCTTACCAACCCGAGGGGTGGATGCTAAGGCAAAGGATTCGGTTAGTCCTGTGGAAATCAAGCTACAGAGACAGACCTCTGTTCTTGAGCAAAATAAAACTGCACCCACATCTGTGTATAAACAACCCAAATCTGTATCAGTTAATGCGCCTTTACCATCAGAGCCCACTCTTCGACCCTCCGAATCTTATGCAAAAGGAAATAATCTCTTGGAGCCTGGTTCGGCGGTTTTCAAGCCCAGTTTTCCAGGGAGAAAGGCAGCTGAAAATGCAGAGGTTTTTAAATCTGGTTATCTTGACCCAAAGGCTACTGAAAACTTGGCGGTTTTTAACCCAGCTGCAATGGCTGAGCAGAACCAAAAACTGAGGCAGTCGAGGGGCAACCAGGAACTGAACGAAGAGTTGCAGGAGAAGGCGAATGAGTTGGAGGCTCTCTTTGCTGCTCACAAGCTTAGGGTTCCTGGTGACTCCTCAGTTATTGGCCGGAGGAACAAGCCTTCTTCAGATATTGGTGGTAAGACACCCGAAGATATCAGCTTTTCTAGAAATGTATTTCCTGATTCAGGGAGAGAATCAATGGGGAGTTCTTCTGCTGGATATGATGTAAATTTGTTGATGAAGATGGCTGATAATCAGGGCCCTCATCGAAATGGTTCAAAGCAACATATGGGCAGTTTTGGGTCAATGGAAGATTTCAGGGGAAAGTTCTATGAGATGTATATGCAAAAGAGGGATGCGAAGTTGAGAGAAGAGTCAGGGCAGAAAAGGGCTCAGAAGGAAGCGAAATTGAAGGCCATGCAAGAGAGCCTTGAAAGAAGCAGAGCCGAGCTAAAAGCTGGGTTGACAGGGACTGATCGAAGGGATCCTGTTGCTCATGCTCGTTTGCGTGCGGAAAAACTTAGATCATTCAATGTCCGGTCGGGAATGAAGTCCAAAGAGCAGGTAAATTTCGGCTAATCACACTATATCTCTGCTGAAAACTTTTTTGAAGAAGTATGATTCTGTCATTTATTACTGTGGCATTGAAATGATTTCATTTGTGATGTGTAGATAATTGACTTTCTTTCTAGTAGTATAAGAAAATATTCATTAGAAGTGTAGATGCTATATTTTATAATATTGAGTGATGATTTGCTTTTCTGAATTTAGTAAGTTCAGGCCTTCTACTTTCCACCTTAAAGAAGTTTTGAGCAAATTGATCATTCAGATGCAATATGCATGCTCAATCGCCATGAAATATTGATTTTGTTTTGGTGGTTAGCTAATTCACATGAGCGTTTGAGTTTTCCTACATGGTATGTGAAAGACATCTGGCATTCATTTCTTCTCAAAAGGGAGGGGAAGAGTAGGTTGATTATCATTTCTTTCATAGGGACAACAACTTGGATCTCTTTTCGCTGAATAGATTATGAGTTAGTTGTAAAAACAAAACAAGATTGAGCCTGTCTAAGTAACTTTGTCTGGCGATGTCTTCTCGTTGCTTACTTTGAATCCACTGACTTGTGTATCAGGATCAATTTCCAAGAAGAACATAAGAAAGAAGTTGTTCTCTTGACCTTGCAGTTCCCTTTTGGTTAATATGCTTATAAATTCCTGGATATTCCGTTGTTGTCAATTATGTCAGAATTTGATATCTGAATCAGAAGTCATTGTTTCTTATATTATTCCTTTGATTCTGTTATTATTCTTGTGGGTAAGCTGGATTTCAGCGGGACCCTCTTACTGATGTATTAATTTGTCCAAACTGGAAGTGATTTGCACTCTCCTTTTCCTCTTCTTCTTCCCCTCCTCCTCTGCCTCCTCCTGTCTCTCTTTCTCTCTCTATCTCTCTCACATATCTAAGCAGCAAAACAATGCCAATGCCTTCCAGAGTGAAGAGGAAGAAGAGCCCCAAGATTTCTCGGAATATAGGTACTACCAACAAGACAGAACTGGCAAAGAAGCTTCTGATACCCCATCAACTGAGAGAGCAGGAAACACCAAGAAGTTCCCATCAAACAAGACCCTCTCAACCTCCACTCCCCGGACATCTGGAGCCCCAATACCCAGATCTTCTGCAACATCTTCAAAGCCTGTCATGTCTTCTAGTGGGTCTCGTCGTCGCACCCAAACTGAGAACATTATGGCTCAGTCAGTCCCCAACTTCTCTGATTTCCGAAAAGAGAATACGAAACCATCGAGTGTAGGCACAGGAAAGGCCACACTTCCCCGAACAAACCCCAAAACATACACTCGCAGTAAGAGCACAAGTGAGGAGGTAATCCCAGTTGTTAAAGAAGAGAAGCAAAAACGTACTCAATCCATGAGGAAGAGTTCTGCTAGCCCGGGAGAGCTCAAGGATCTCTCATCTCTTAACTCTGAAGTATTAACACCATTAAGGTTTGGAAAGGACCAAAGCCAACAACTTCATTTCAGCAAAAGCCCCATCAGAAATGGGGTCTCTTCTGCTGAAGCACAGCCATTTCTCAGGAAGGGCAATGGCATAGGCCCAAGCGCAGGCCCAGGGGTTGCTAAGTTGAAGGCAGCCATGACTGCTGAGACCCAGAAAGACGAGGATGACAAGAATGGTGTCTCAGAAGAGAATGGCGTTGACGTGCCTGACATCTCGCCCGAATCTGACAAAGAGGTGATTGGAATTGAAAAGCTGGCAGATTCTGAGGATTTTCCGGCCGATTCAGAGGAAGATGAGGAGAAAGAGGGGAGATTGAGCCATGAATCCTTCAAATCAGCAGATCTTGGGTCTGACTCCAATGAAGAGCGAAGGTCTTTCTCTCAAGCCGATGACTCGGCGGTTGGCTCCAACCATTATGAAGAGAGTCCTGCAGCTTCTTGGAGCTCTCGAAGGGACCATGCGTTTTCTTATGGGCTTGAGGCCTCTGATGTATCAGTGGACTCACCAGTTGGCAGCCCAGCTTCTTGGAACACAAACTCTTTGTCGCAAATTATGGAAGCTGATGCAGTCTCAAGAATGAGGAAGAGGTGGGGTAGTGCACAAAAGCCAGTGTTGGTTACTGGATCGGGTTCTCGGAAGGATGTTACAAAGGGTTTTAAGAGGCTTTTGAAGTTTGGAAGGAAAAGCAGGGGCGCTGATCTTTTGGCAACGGATTGGGTTTCAGCAACGACTTCCGAGGGTGATGATGACACAGAGGATGGGCGGGACCCTGCTAGTCGGTCGTCGGAGGATTTGAGGAAGACAAGGATGGGGTTCTCGCATGGAGGACTCCCTTCTTATGATGGTTTCAATGATGGTGAGAGCTTGCAAGAACAAGCAACAAGTATGATCTCTCTCTCTCTCTCCCTTGGTTCCTAAACTTTTTTTGTCTTTCATTTACAACGGTTGTTGAGGTTTTCAGAATCTCTCTCTTTCTCTGCCCTCACATTTATTTATTATTATTATTTTTTGGGCAATTCAATGGGGAAGACAGGCCACTACCCGTTTTTTCAATAGGTTAGGGAGTTACATTTTGAAGGTGTTAATTGGGGGTGTCCGCGATAGGAATGGATACCATGACTTTCTCCCTCTCTCTGAGTCTCAAGTCTTTAACTTTTTGGTTTAATGCAAGACGTCTCTCTCTCTCTTTACACACACACACGAACAAACACTACATCATGTCATGAACACTTGTTCTCCACAGAAATTTAGAAAACTTGAAATGAGGAATCATTGATAGAAGTTGGAAGCATCATAAATCGATAGATTGACTTTACCAGAGAGCAAACAGTTTTTGGTCAGCTTTTCCTTTCCTGACAAATGGAATTCCTTCATAATTAGCTTGGCCTTTTGTCGGTCATTTTGGAAATGGGTTCCTTAGTGGTTAGTGGTGTAATATCTGTGGCAATGAATATTTTCTGCCAAAATATCTTGCTGGAAAGTGTTTCTCACGTGGGAGCATGATTTTCAATATTTTATTTTACAGTTTATGTGCACTGGAGTTGTCGTATATCTAGTCTATACTGAGCCATGTGATGGTTTTTCAGTTCAATCGTTACGAAGCTCAATTCCAGCACCCCCTGCAAACTTCAAACTGAGAGAGGATCATTTGTCAGGAAGCTCTTTGAAAGGTATTTCAATCCCTTACTGTTGTTCATTTGTATAGCTTTGTCACATTAATTTTTTTCCCTTTTTGATATTCAAACTATAGGGATATTTGAACCTCCAGTGTATGTGTCTGCAACAAAAAGCTCCTAGCCACTACACTATGAATAGAAGTATAGAACAAAACCTTGTTTTGACATTTGGAGCTGAATTTTATTTTCAGCTCCATGATTTTCGCTTGGGTTTTCCCTCAATTTGCAGAAAGCTGTGTGTGTGCACACGCAAGTTTGTTACTTGTACAATGGACTGGTTTCCCATGTTTATGTTGGTTGTCATTCTGATTTCTAGACTGGAGTCCTTTGACTGGATACTGATTATTCTCTCTCCTACTTTTCGTCTTCTTTTGGACCTTCAACAGCACTGGAAGTTGTGATTTTAGAATGATATTTTTTGATATATTAGACTGGATACTGACTATTCTCTCTCCTACTTCTCGTCTTCTTTTGGACCTTCAACAGCACTGGAATTTGTGATTATGATATTATTTTCATATATTAGGAATGCAGAATGGTTGTAGATAGTTGTGAAACATGTAGATACAACAGTTGTGAAACATAATAATGTTTGTAGGTAGCTGCACAGTGTATTTGTTTTCAGGATTGTTTGTAACTAAGATTCAAACTCACATTTTACGTAAAATGTTAATCTTGTGAAACTTATGATTATGATGATTATTATTATTTTGTAATTTATTAGAATTTATACTGATATTTGGCATTTTGAACTTGCAGCTCCTCGGTCCTTTTTTTCCCTGTCCTCATTTCGAAGCAAGGGAAGCGAGTCGAAGCCCAGGTGACGGCATTATGGACATTGGGCTTGGACTTCTTGTTATATTTGGTAAGATAAGTAGTTTGGGTTTTGGAATATGTTATCAGATATCTATACGTGTCAATTATATATAAATATCTAGTATTTACAGCTCTAAAATCATGTAATAGGCATTTGGTGTTGTATTTTGCCTGAGAAGTTAAAAGCTTGTGTGTAATTGGACTCTCAGGGTTTCAATTTTCCCTTCAGTAAATTGGTAGGGGTCTGTTGTAGATTGGATTAGTGAAGCGGCCAATTGGCGGAAAATTTATTGTGATTTTGGTGTAATCTGAACTGCTGAGTAAAATTTTCAATTTTCTTGATGGTAAGTGGCTAAATTGAGGTTATTGCGAGGTCTTGCTTCCCCAAACTGTGAGTAGATCAGATTTATATGTTTGACTGATAAAAAGAGCAACTAGAGAACTACACACTCTAGAGAACAAATTCGCCCATTTGATAACAGAAGGGTTTTACGTGCATTTTTAGTCCGTGAGGAACTCCAAGGACTTTTAATCCCTATTACAGTTTACTCTAAGTCATTCAACAAACTCAGGTGCCTTTGATTCGGGTCTTAGGATGAATACAAACCCAAAGAAAAGAAAATATACAGAAAAATGGAAGAAACATATCAGTCACCGGATGCATAATGCCCTTATACTTGAATAAAGGGCAGATTCTTCACTCTGCTTCTAGAATTTGTCTTCTAAGCGAATTTGGTTATTAATGTTCTTTTCTATTTGATATCCACACATTCCTGAGCAAGAAGTGCTGTTCAATCGCTCTCACTCTAGAAAACATGTAAGAATAATGGAGTATGGGACGTCTCTCTCTCTCTCTCTCTCTAAGATGTAGGGATTTTGCTTATGACTTCCAAGATCGGTCCCCTCCCTACTCCGTGTGAGTTTTTATGGATGATAGGGGTTTGAGTTAAGAGCCCATAAGAAAATTCCTTTTAGATTAATATAAATTCGATTTTAAGCGTTCGACGCTCATTGGGGCTGCCATAAGATAACAGTGCCATATGATAGCATACGATGCACAGAGGTGCCTGAGGGGTTGACAAGGGGACATAGGGACTGATCGTCTGAACTATAGGACTAAAACCTTGGGAGCAGGGCTATCGAATATCAAATGTGATCTTCCCAACTATTGCAAGTCAATTCCCGGATACCGAGTGTGGATCCGTTGGTTAAACATATCTTCATTGATGGTGGATCATGAGATCTTATCAAATGGTGTCCATAGTTTCACCTCATTCTAATGCATCTGGATTGGGGACATATGATAACCAAATATAATAACCAAATCTTGGTATTTACATGGTTTCACCTCATTCTGATTTAATTTGACGAGGTTTCCGAGGGTTAGCCCGTTAAACTCCTTTCAACAAAAACAATCTCTAAGACTTATCAATCTGTATCCAAAAATCTTTAATATCATGCAGAGAGGTGTATTATGGCCTAGTAATATAGGTCCCATGGTTTAGTCTCATGTTGAGATGTCTTGATAATCTTTTGAGTGGGCTCGACTATTAAAGCATATAGTAACCAACTGTCAGGGCTTTCGAGGTGCATTAGGCATTGAATGGCAAGTCTTGACTATATTAGACTCCGAGGTGCATTAGGCATGGGATGGCAAGTCTTGACTATATTGGACTCCTTGTTATAATATCTGAGGTATATTTAAAACATGAGTGATGATTTATAGGAGCCTCTCACACCTACATGACCTCAACTCATCACCATCGATTTCGATCCAAATCTCAAGATGATATTGAATTCCTCCTTTTTTTTAAGTCTTCCGTGTCAACACACCTCGTTCAATGCCCCTCTCTCTCCATTACTCTCGTTCTTTCACCCACCCACCTACCCATTCTCAACTCACCCTCTCTCTTCAGAACCAGTCGCCCCTTTCTCTCTTTCTCAATCTCTCTCATTTGGTCTCCCATCTGTTCTCAGCTCACTTTCTCTCTCTCTAAATTAGCTATTCTATCTCTCTCTCTCTCTCTGGGATTTTCTGGTTCAACTCAGTTTTCCTTGTTCCCAGTTTTAGTGTTATCTCTCTCTCTCTTAAAATGATTTTTGAAAATTTTCTTGAATACTTAACCTTCTTCAATATTGTTTCATTTCTTGCCATTGCTTTTTAATTTTCACCTTTTTCATGGTGCTTATGTTTCTTTACATACAATTTCAATGAAATTGTGTTTGGGTTTGTAGGAGTACAATGCCAGTGTAGAATTCTGTTGGGTTCCATTTCTAGTTGATTTGGGATTGGCAGACTCGTATCTGCTTGTTGTTGGGGAGAGAGAACGAGAGATATTGAGAGGGAGGAGGCAACTGGTTCTAGAGAGAGAGAGGGTGAGCTGAGAATGGATGGGAGAGAGAACGAGAGATATTGAGAGGGAGGGGGCGACTAGTTTTAGAGAGAGAGGGTGAGCTGAGAATAGATGGGAGAGAGAACGAGAGAGATTGAGAGAGAAGGAGGCGACTGGTTCTAGAGAGCGAGAGGGTAAGCTGAGAATGTGTGGGTGGGAGAGAGAACGAGAGAGATGGGCATTGAACGAGGTGGGTCAGATCCGCTGATATAGAGGAATTAATAAAAGGGAGGAATTCAAATCTCACCTTGAGATTTGGATCGAAATCGATGGTAATAAGTTGGGGTTCCAGGCTTGTAGGTGTGGGAGGGTCCGATAAGATCAACCGTTAAGATTATAGTTGCTTGACAACCGTTCTATGTTAATCTCCGTGGTCCATTGATTGATCTTGACCATCGGTCTCATATATTTCCTTTTAAAGTTAGGTGTCTCAAAAATAAGCATAATAGGTCAATATGGGGGCTGATGTGCTGGTACATCACTGTGTTTATGTGCCTATGTGTGTGGAGATTCTTGTTCGTGGTTTTCATGGATGATGCATATTTATGAGTAATTCAACTGTTTGAGATTGTATATTATGAGACAATTTATTTTTTGTATAAAAAAGTCACAATCATTTTTTAGTCATTTCATGTGAAATCCAATAAATGAAAGTGATATTCCAAAAATTTTATTTTAAACTTTAAGCCCAAACAATGATATGTCTTCAATTACCCAATTTCATATTTAACAGTAAATAATGATTTTGATTTTCTTGTATAAAAAAGTATTACCCAATTTCAAATTTAACAGTAAATAATGATTGTGATTTTTCTTGTATAAAAAAATAAAGTAAACAAATGATATTACATTCACGACTATTTTTATAAGAACTCCTAAAATTTTGCGTAGAGAGAGAGAGGGACTCCTTTTGTTGAATGGGGAATGAAGCAGAAACAAGGCGATTCCCTCTAGGCAGAAATGGCGTCTCATGTCAAGTAACAACAAATAACAGCTTTGCAAACAACAGATAATACTATCAAACCTCAAAAGATAATACCATGAAACCTCCTTCTTCAATTGAAAACTTGGAAAGAAATGAAAATGTAAAATATACCAAATAGAGGGAACGAATTGGAAAGCAACTTTTATGGGAATGAGCCAATGCCTTTTCACAACCATTCTAAAAAACATATCAAGGGTCTTTTAAGGATTAGAGCTCTATGGTGAAAAACAAATATGAAAAAAAAAAAAAAAGAGTAAGTCAATGGGGATTTGGGCCCTATTATTTTGTGAGAATGGAGTCAAAGACTTAATCATAAGGCTCTTTGGTACTATTGCCAAGACCCCAGTCCATCATTTAGTTTTCTACATTTTTGAAGCACTTTCTTGGGATGTTGATAGAGGACAATGGGGGTGTGCTGTGCCTCCTCTTGATGTCCGTCAAAAAATTTGATAAACGGTAGGGCGCAATTTTACAAGTCAAGATGGTCCCAAAGCATCTACAATTCTACAAAGGATGCGTTCAGCATGCAGGCCAAGCCTGCACATGTAAAAATGAGGGCCCTTTAATATATCTATTTTTGAGATAGATTTTTGACTTAAATTTTAAAGATATGTATCTCTAACATGGAGATCATGAATATGAAAAAATAAATAAAATTTAAAAACTAAAAATAAGAATTCTATTAAGAAGACATTTGAACGGTTAGTTCCATTTGTTTTTAGATGGACCATATATTTGCATCAATCTTTAAAATGGATACTTTATACTTCTGGACCGCAACTGTAGAAATGCGGTCGGTCTAGCCCGCATGAAACAATTTTCCTTCTACAAATTTATATAGGTGTTTGGAAGTCTTTGGTCTCTCCGAATATATTGTGGAACATTGCTAGTCTGTCCCACTAGGTCTCACATTCCTGATAAATTGGCGGCGCACCCAGAATTGAATTGGGGATAAGTGTGGAAATGCGAAGAAATGCAGGGTTTTCCTATTCCCAAACAAAGGAAAATGTGCTATCTGAGAAAATAGGTTATTTTCTCTTGTTTTCTCATTTACCAAATAGGGCCTAAAGATGATACTAACTATTAGTGTGATGGGCTTCGACCGAGTTTATTTGGACTCGGTTGAGTTGCATGGCCTTGCCCAGTAGTCCCGAATCGCATGTACAACTCGGGGCATATAAAATAAATTTTAAAAATAAAAAATTGTAAAAAAATGTTGAAATATTATACAAACTTTTTCATATGATTTAGATGTATTTGGAAAAAACATGCGAGTGTTTTATGCAAAATTCACTTTTTTAACTTTTTGAAGTTATTTTAAATTTTATTATATATTTTTCTTTTATTTTTTGGGAAGGGGGGACTTTTGGCCCTACGGCCCAGAAACTCGCCAGGGCCTAAGGGAGTCCCAGCACATTGCTAATTATATCATATGTGTTGCTTGTATATCTATTCTGATGTTTTTGAAGTGTTAGCTCCTACTCAAAAGCACTAAATTGGATTTGGAAAGAAAGATTGAATGAGTATTGTGTTTTATCACTTTGTCTTCTCTTCTCTGTTATTCATGGACAAATTGCTGCTTCGTTCAAGCGCTTGCATGCTATTTTAGTTTTTCTGAAAAATCAAGCGCCTGATTGCTATTTTAGTTTTCTAAAAAATATCTGAAGCGATGAGAGATAGAGAGAGAGAGGGAGGGGATAAAACAAGCAATCGGCAGGGTGGCCTGGCCCAGCCCTAAAAAAATAGGGCCTGGGTCATAAAATGTGGCCCGAGGGTCAGGCCTGGGCTGGACCGATAAAGAGAGAGAGAGAGTGGTTCACGGTGGCAATGGGCTGGCTGGCCTTGCCCGACGCAAAAAAATTAGGGCCTGGGTCATAAAATGTGGCCCCAGGGCAAGCCTAGGGCAACCCAAAACGAGACCGGACTTGTCCAGCCGGGCCCAGCCCAGCCTGTATTTCTTCATCTTATTTACCTTATTTTCCTTTAATTGTACCCAATAGGGCCTGATACTTAGGGGAATAGGGTCAGGGCCTCCCGGCCCAGGCCTGGCCCGTTACCAGGTGCAGTATTACATTACACATTGGAGTCAACTAAGAATGAAAGATGGAAATTAGATGAATTGGGAATAGAGATGGCGACACCTCCTCTACTCTCGTGTAAAACACCAAAGAAAGCGACACCCCTGTCCGGCTTGACACTCTTCGTTTGACGCATTAAATTACAGGAATAACCTTAAACAATTTCAATATGTACTTTATACCCTAAGGCCTTCTGAGCCCACCAAGTGGCAGTTACATCTTCCTCAAAGTTCAAGCAAGACAAATAGACCCCAGGCCAAGACAAATTTTGCTTTTCTTTATTTCGCTCTCCTTTTGCTTTTGTTTTTTTTTTTTTGCTTTTTCCTTTATTTCTATTTTATAAGATTTTTCCTTTTTTAAAATTTTTTTTTTAGGAATATGATTGCGACAGGAATTTTGTTCAATGAAATTGTTTCTTTCTCCTTAACCGTCCCTTGGCGCCCCCCTCCAAAAGAAATATAAAAAGAAAATATTTCTCCTTAACCCAACAAAAAACAAAAAAATTAAAAGAAAACAGAATTTCATCCTTGGTTTTTTAGTAGAAGGCGGAATATACTACGTTACTTGACAGCCTTTGTACTCTCTTATGTCTTCTCCTTATACAAATGTCCCTACTTCTCCTCGTACAATCCCCTTCTCACCTGAAACCCAATTTTCCAACCATTTGCCATGCCGGACTCCTTTGATTTTGAAGAATTCCGGTGCCCTCCATCACCGGAAAACTCACTCAACTCATCCTATACCACAACCAGACCCAACTCTCCATGCCGATCTCGAAGCCCGTATAACAGGGCTCCAATGAACTCCAGACGCAGCTCTGTGAGTTCAATTGGCCGGGTTCCTGTGACTTCATTGGTGGAACCCGACACTTCCTGGCAAGGTGAGATCTCTTGGCAGTTTGAACCCACTGGGTGGGCACGAAGCAATAACCTCGGAGCTGCCCTGAGTCCTTGGGCTGGGGGTACTATTGAAAATTCTCGCCCTTTTCGACGAAGTGCCAAGGATTTCTACCTCCCCAATGTTTCCGATGGATTTTCGGGCGTATTCCGGAGCTTTACCAATCCATCTTATGACTTGTCTAATACAAGCATGAGCTTCATGGGGGAAACCCCTAGGAGTAGGAGGAGGAGAAGGCTGGAGTTACATAGCTATGTTCATGGGGAGGAGCCAGTTTCTAGTTATGGAAATTCCAGTCGGTTCAGGAGTGGAAATCGATCTCCTCGGTTTTCCAAAATAGGAATCGTTGGAAATTCTAGTACAGGAAATCTTCCCTTGGCTAGCAGGGACGAGCTGAGCATCGTACGATGTGCTGAAATACCAAAAGAAGAAGATGAAGCAATTCATATGTCGGAAGCGATTAAACGTGGTGCCGATCATCACACGACTAATCTACATACATATGAGAAACCTGGCCATCTTCACCATCAATTAATGGATTCTAAGCATCATAGCCATCTCCATACACACCATTCCATGCATGGAGACGACGACTATGATGATGATGATGATGATTATGATAATGATGATGACGACGACGATGATGAGGTTGATGGCAGTAAGGGTGCATCTATAGGGTTAGGCAGCCTTTTCAAGTACTCATCAAAGATGGATTTGGTCCTAATTTTTTTCGGGTGCGTCGGAGCTCTCATAAATGGTGGGTCACTGCCGTTCTACTCGTTCTTTTTTGGTCAATTTGTGAACAAACTCGCTGCAGATTCACAAAACAACAAGAGCCAGATCATGAAGGATGTTAATGAAGTGAGACATATTCTCCTCACTTTTTCTTTTATTTCAAATGTAACTGCACACCATGAATTGCTTGCTATATGTCATATTGCACGTGTGGCACATAACATCTCAACCATCGATTTCCAATAACAATGATGGTTATTTATCGATGTTTCGCCTAACTAGTTTCTGCACCAGCTGATCACCATGAGCCATCACCCATTCATTTTGGGCAGAGACAGCTATGATCTTATATACTACTTTCAGTACTTATTTACAACTTTGTGCATTTTGGTTCTACATCCTTGTGTCATAATTTTCAAGTGACAAAAAGATGTGAACTTTCAATATTGGAAAAGTATGCAATGGTAAAGAAAGGGCGCTCAGGGTGAAGATGCACAATAAACTGACATTCTAAATTCCATTCCTATTTTGGGTAGAGGCTCCTTTCGCTGTTGAATTGCTCTAAAACAAAAACTGAGAGAAAAAATGATGGGATTGAAAAGAGGAACAACACAACTCATCCATCCATTGTTGATTATGGATAATTGAGGAGTTTGATAGCACACGGTTTGAAACCCAGCTTCAATCATGATACTTGAAGCCTTTAATATTTCATTAAAAAGTGGGGCTTTTGTGTCCAATTGTATATTTTCACTTCCTCCAAAGTTCTAATTTTGTTGCTTTGGATTGCTACAGATATGTGTGCAGATGTCTGGACTGGCGGTCGTCGTGGTCATTGGGGCATATTTAGGTAAAACCAAAATCTAAGTAAAAACCTTGTAATTTCACTATAACATCCAAAATATAAAGGAGGGTATATGCTATATAATCCATATTAACATTAAAAATTGAGCTGGTAGACTGATCGACCGTCAACAGCCAAACCAAATAGGGTATGCCGGCCTCTATCAAACTTGCTGGTTGTTTTTATTTATTAAGGAGATAAAATAAAAAACTAATGGGAGGGGTATTTAGACTCCTACCTGCTATCCAATGGTTTTGGCTTTCTGGTTTTTAAATAAAGGGAAAGGTTAATATACATCTTCATACATATATATTATACATACATCTCTCATCTCCTAGTCGTCTGATTTGAATGGACAGTTGAGATGGCCCCAATCACAATGTCGTACCTAAACACTATTTTTTTTTTTTTTTAGACATGATATTGATACCAAATTTGGGACGTCCAATCCTCCCTTAAACTGCTTATGAAAATATAGAAAAATATTCTTGATAAAAATAAAATGACCAATGTATCAGTGAAAGTTATAAGGGTAGTTTGATGATTTTATTTTTTTAAAAATGTTTTTTAATAATTTTTTGGGTACTACTCATTGAGATGATGACACACTAAATTTCATGTTCATATATTTGTAAAAAAAATTAAAAATAAATACTCTGAAACTTTAGATCTAGACCAAACAGTCAATGACTCATTGTTGACATCATGGATGAAGTCATCCCAGCCATCCATTAGATGAAAGATGAGAGACTGTAGATAAAATATACATAGGTTTGGGATGTATATTTTATTGAATGGCTTAAAAACACATATATAAGGTAAATAGTCGAAAGAAATTACAAGGCTAGATGAAACACAAATGTCGTGAGGTCAAATTTACTCTTAGTTATCAGATGAGAAATCGGGTTGTTGGGGTCATGCTATTGATTGCGTTTGAAGTTCCACAAAATTCAAAACTTTTGTTCTAGAGATGAATACATGCCCCATCACTCCAATTATGCATCTATGCTTGAAGAATTTGTGACTTTATGGCTTCACTGTATAACAATCCCATATTATCGTCATTATTGTCAAAATCGTTTTTCAACTAATTGAGATCGGCTACACGAATCCAGTCCGCCATTCTGATCTATTAAAAGTTATACTATACATAATACAATTTTAAAATAAAAATCAAGAAAAATATGGTAAGGTTGAATTGAATGTGTAGAGATAACATGCTGGAGGTTGGTGGGGGAGAGATCAGCTCAGACAATAAGGAGGGAATATTTGCGTGCTGTTTTGAGGCAAGACATGGGCTTCTTTGATGCTGATGTGAATACTGGGGATATAATGCATGGCATATCAAGCGATGTTGCCCACATACAAGAAGTCATGGGTGAAAAGGTACTCTCTCTCTCTCTAAAGGACATGAACGTAATATTTTTGACATGGGTGAGGTTTGTATAAGGTGCTCACCTTATACTATGCAATTAAAGTGCAGTTTTAAATTTTTCGCTCCTTGAAACTTTATGAGGGCTTGAAAATTTATATTCAACTCTAATTATAAAATTTAAAATTTTGAAAACGATGCAAAATGTGTAGATTTACAAATATTTGAAAATGTTGAAAATAGATGATCTAAATTATTTGTTACAAGATGCAATATTTTTTAGGACTTGAAATTCTTTTTCTTCTTGGTATCCTCGAGATGATCAATCGGAAGGTTTTCCAACCTCGGAACACGTTTTTCTAGTGAATTTTTTTGACGAAGGATAAAGTTTGCAACCTTATATAAACTTTTTCCTTTTGTGTTTGCCTATTGAGGCCTGGACATTTGTCCCCATTCTAAAAATGCTTGGGCATGCTTCAAACCACTTTAATTTCTATAATTCACAAACCTAATATTATTAACAACCTTTGCTTTTTTTTATAATTAAAAAGAAAAGAACCCTTATTTTTTTGGGGTAGACTATTAATAAGCTAATAGTCTTTGCATTAGTATACTTATTCTTAAGTTTGACGTAGCTTGATTAACTTACACATGGGCACGATCTGGTAGGGACTTATCCATAAAAGAAAATGTAATGAACCACACATATGAGGGCAGCAAAGCTAAGTCCGGTTACGCCCAACTTTTCTTCAATATTGTGCACAATCAATAGTGTATCCCTAGCCATCTAATATCATATCTGATGGCTACAAATGGTTGTGATGGACTTGTGTCCAAAGCAAATGATCTTATGCTATACTTTATTATATTATATACACCCTTGGGATCACATTGGGCATTATTTGTGTTTACTCTGAAATTTGGAGACCTAACATCCTCAATTCAAAGCTAACTTCAGAAAAAGAAAAAAATTAAAATTTAATTTTGGGTTTTTTACGTGCAGACTAGGTAAAATTATTAAAGTTACCCCTTGGCCCATAAGTTCGGTAATGTTTCCACAAGGTCCTACACCTTCCCTCT